GTTGGTTATGCGTCTATTCAGAATGAATTATGAGCAGCCACTTTTTTATTTTGGGTTTGTCATTTTGGCAAGTGGGTTATAAATCATAAACTAGTCTAGTAAGGGTTTAAAGACAGGAGAAAACCTGTGGTGTCTATTCTCTGCGTCGAGGTGAACTGGAGCCAGGAGCTCAGTGTGTGAAAGGTCCTTCACGCTGACACACATTCAGCGCACACACACACACACACACACACACTAAACCCCTGGAGACGGCATGTCACATGTGATGCGCTCGATCTCAGAATGACTTTTCAAAATTCACGATTACAGATTAACAGCTTTTTAAACCCTGTAAAATTTCACAATTGAGATTTTCATGTCATTTTTAATCTTCTGTAAACTCATTTTGCTTTCCATGTTTCACACTGTTCATACAAATTGTTGAGAACCTTAAATTCCCCCTGTGGTGTAAATCCAGCTTTTAATGTTGTTTATGTGTGTATGTGATGTTTTTAATACGCTTTAAGACACACCATGTGTAAATTCATAAGTCGACAGGAGTATTTTCTGTTTAAAACTGCAGTGAACCAAAGACTGTCTCAAAAACACAGTGTGAAATCGCTGGTGTTTCTGACGTGATTGTTTTTCAAGGAAAAAAACTTTTAAAAATGTAATTTTGGTGGTCATAGATAAAATTACGAATTAAATTACGAAAATTACGAATCTTAACAATAACAATAATCCTATAACAGTAACTAATTAAAGTTATATTTACAATTGTTCGGGGACAACATTTGTGGGATTCTGTTGATCTAAAATGGGGTTTTATGTAGATTATATTTATATTTTGTAGTATGTGCATCTCGAATGTACGGAGGCGTATTGCATTCACTTGAAGAAAAAAAAATCTACTCTGTTTTTCTGAATTAACGAGTTAATTTTTCATGAGAAAAAAAATTTGCTCTGTTTTTCTGAATTAATGAGTTAATTTTTCATGAGAAAAAAAAATTTTTGCTCTGTTTTTCTGAATTAACGAGTTAATTTTTCATGAGAAATTTTTTTTTGCTCTTTTTTTCTGAATTAATGAGTTAATTTTTCATGAGAAATAAAGTTTTTCTCTGTTTTTCTGAATTAATGAGTTAATTTTTCACGGAATTTTTTTTTTTTGCTCTGTTTTTCTGAATTAACGAGTTAATTCAGAAAAAAACAGAGCAAAAACTTTTTTTCTCACGAAAAATTAACTCATTAATTCAGAAAAACAGAGAAAAAAATATTTTCTCATGAAAAATTAACTCATTAATTCAGAAAAACAGAGAAAAACTTTTTTTCTCATAAAAAATTAACTCATTAATTCAGAAAAACAGAGCAAAAAAAATTTCTCATGAAAAATTAACTCGTTAATTCAGAAAAGTAGAGCAAAAAAAAATTCTCATGAAAAATTAACTCATTAATTCAGAAAAACAGAGAAAAAATGTTTTTTCTCATGAAAAATTAACTCATTAATTCAGAAAAACAGAGTAGATTTTTTTTCCTTCAAGTGAATGCAATACGCCTCCGTACAAATGTTCCTGTAAGCTGGAAAATTTAGTGTTTTTTTACAGTGCATCAAGGGGTAAAACAAAGCAAGATAACCTAGGATTGTTAACCCAGGGTTAAAAATTAAGGACACAGGGTGAAAGGTTTTTTTTGACGATTAGGCCACCAAAGCAACTGATCTGTTTTCTCATTGGGTTGAAGTGTGGGACGACGTCCAATACCCCTCCCTCCCGCTCGCCTCACTCTTTCCCAGTCTTTTATGCTCCCTGAGGATCGGATGACAGACACACTGAAAGCCTATTGTGATTTGCAAAGAGCGAAAATACAGACAACCAACGAAAATAACGACAGTGTTTAACAAACGGTGACAGTATAAATACAAGAAGCATCTTATATGGAGCTGCACACAATTATGCATGCATAAAAATGGTGTTTACACGCAAAGATATTCCAAATATGAATATATATGAGCATAATCCTGAAATTTAAAAGGCAGCTATTGCATACATTGTTACTTCTTTTCTACTCGCTGATATATTAGGCTATTTATTAAAATCAATAGTTGATTATTCCATTTTAAACATTTTTAATTTTATTTAATCACTATTTTTATTATTTATTTGGTTTGATCTTGTTTTTTTACACTGTTTTATTTTATTTAATCACTATTTTTTATTATTTATTTGGTTTAATCTTGTTTTTTACACTGTTTTATTTTATTTAATCACTATTTTTTATTATTTATTTGGTGTTTTTTTACACTGTTTTTCTCACAGATTTTCCACAGACCCCAGCTTGATGTGTTATTTATGAAACATTACATAAGATTTCGTTTATTGGAAAATCAAAACAGATATCACTAGCCAACATCAGCCAAATATGAAACATATCAATCATTTTTACTTTGTCTATTTTGCTAAATCAGCCCTAAAGTAACAGCATCAAATAGAAAATACCTGTCATCATCACCAATAGACCATAAACACTTGTCCAGATTAATTTACAACCACTGAGCATGTAAATCCATCAAATAAAAACACTTATCAACACCAAAACAGATCATAAATGCCTTTTGTCCTCTGACATACCATGATTGTTTACATTGTTTGTTTATCAAAATGACGTCAACTGAAAACGGTCCATTCATTGTTAAATATTTACTCGGAGACAGAGATGAACTCATGACACAATTATCAAAGTCAATATCAAAGTGCTTTAGCCTTTTAGCCAGTTAGCAAAACACAGTTATTAGCATTAAATTTCCAACATGAGCTTCTGGCTTACCTGACAGTCTGACAGCACCTGTTGTGACTCTGCGGAAAAATCGAGAGAAAAACAGCAACTTTAACGAAATCTGACGGCAGTCTTCTCAAACATTCCCATGGTGTTGGACTACTGACCTCATAAACAAACATATGATGAAGTGATAAAACTCCAGTCACCATCCACTTACATAAACAGAAGCCAGTCACCATCCACTGACATAGAAAAACAAGCTCGCGTCAAACCACACGAGTCAGTTCTGCAGGAAAGCTGGTAAAACACATTTTACTCCACTTTCATTGCTGCTGCTGTGACTTTGGACTGGTTTACTGGCACATTTCACGCGTCTGCTGTGCTGTCACACTAGCATGCGAGCGTTGAAGGGCGAGTCCGGGTGCATTGTGGGAGTTGTAGTGCAGAACGGGAGCGCGCTTGACGGGGATAGGCTCGCTCGAGGGGCGTCAAAGCGGGTAAACATTAGAGAGGGTGGGGTTTGAAGTTTCAGCGAGAATAGTGCTTCATTTTAACATAAATAAAATTTTGCCGATAGATAGGCAAGAATTAAACCTGCTGTCATCATGATTCCCGTTCTTTCCGACAATAAAGCATGCGACGAGCTGGTAGTTACGACTTAACAAGTGGGAAAGTAGGAAGTTTCCGATAGCACGTGAATGCAGCAAAGGTATTATCAGGGAGTGACATATAATTACTATGGTAACCAGAACAGTACCATGGCATACATCAAATATACAATATTACATCAGATCTGATGTACTATTATAGTGGCACTTTATTTTTTATGCACTGAAGAAACAGTATTCTTTTGCAGAAAAGGGTTTGTAGTGTGTTGTATATTTTTTGTCATTTTAATTACTCAAAAAAAAAATGTATGTAGTCTTTATTATTTTTATTTAGGTTTTAGTTATTTTCGTTACATAAATAAAACTAGCTGAAATAAAAGTTATTTTAATATTTAATTAGATCAAGTTAAACTAAATTAAATAAAAGTAGCTGAAATCAATATTAAAATAACTTTAATTTCAGCTAGTATTATTTCTAAAATAACTAAAGATTACATATTAAAATAACTTAAGTTATTATCGTACAAGTTAAACTAAACTAGCTGAAATGAAAATTATTTTAATATTCAATTTAAGTTATTTCGTACATCAAGTTAAACTAAATGAAATAATTCTAGCTGAAATGAAAGTTATTTGAATATTTAATTCTATTTAAAATAAGGTGATTTTATTTCAGGTAACAGAAGTTATTTATTGGTTTTGGTTTTAGGTTTAGTTAACTATTAAAAAGTACTCATAGAATACTTGTCTGAAAACGAACAACACTTAAATTTGAAAAATTTTCAGGTATTTGGGATTTTTCGAAAAACCTACTTTTGCAGTCATAGTTTTTTTTTTTTTTTAGTTTTTTTTGCACGATCGGAACCAAACCAATGCAGAAATATTCTCAGGATTATTTGAAAAAAAAGCTGAAATTTCGATTCACGTCCGCGACAGAACGGTCGAAGTGGGCGTGGCCACTTTTACTAAAACGGCTATCCGTCTTGAACGGAATGAGATAACTTCACCAAACTCGGTTCACCTATCTATGGACTCAGTCTGTGGTCACATGGAAAAGGATGCAGCGACTGACCACTTGATGGCGCTATAAAATAAAAAAAAATTAAAATACACAAAAATGGCTATAGCTATGCTTTCAAGTGGTGCCATGATTGTCTACGAGGACATTCACATATCTCGAAAAACACGGCCAATGAAGTTCAAACGGCTGTAAAAAAGGTTAATAGAGGCCGATCGAAACGAAACTCACAGGGTCTGTTTGACTCACGGCTCTCCAGGCCTGTGAGATTTTTTTAAAATCGGCCACCAGGGGGCGGCTTTACATCTTTTTCCATGCAAAGCACTGTATATCACCTGATTTTTCGCACACACTATAAAGTTATTCTTATTCTGAGCAATTTAGAACTGCCGCTGTCAATCAAACTCTTCATAAATATCGGAGATCATTTCAACAACCCATGCTCGTGAACTGGTCCTAGGTTTTTGACTCAACCGCAAAAATTGCTAAAACACTTATTTCTTAAGTAAATAACCTGATTTGGTTGTAAATGGTCTTTTTCCATCTATGATCTAGTAATAAGACATAATACCTTTTTTTGCATGTGCTTAAAGGCCTTAAAGCACTTGAACCCTTATAACTGCTGCTTGCAGCTATTTTTATTATACAGTTGCAACTATTACAAACCATAACCTATTTATTTTAGAATACATTTACAATGGTACATTTTTGTAACAGAATATTAAGCCGGTAAAGATGTGTCACATAAACATGCCAGTATTCCTCTAGAGCTGCTTGGTTTAATCAACAAACACAATCGCTTCTAGTACAGAGCATCCGGTACTGCAACACACACAATAGAGAAAACATTGGTCTTGTTGTGTGCATGAAAGTGTGTTTTGGCATAATCATCAAATGCACTGCAGTGAACGCACATATGGGATACGGCGCTGGATGATGTAAATATATTAAGGGTTAAATGCAATCCACATCATCTCAAATGAATCCAGACCAAGAAGTTAAAAAACATTGTGTAAACTATAAATAGCTGCAATTACGTTTAGACAATTGTAAATTGAAACGCATCTTATGCACGTGGTCTTGATCACATGACCTCCACAGTTGTGTCCACATGATTTAATGGTGACTGTTTGAGTGTAGCAGACGTTTGATAACGCGTCGGTTCAGTGACTGAGGCTTCCCTTCTGCCCGGTCCAGAGCTCCCGCAGCTCCACCTGACAGCCGAGGTCTCTGAGAGCGGCTCGACCCACGTCACCGCAGTCCCGGTGGGCCGCCAGAGCCTGCGAGATCAGTGCCTCCGCTCCCATCTCCAGGATGGGCTGAGTGTAGTCACGCGAGCGGGCCACCAGGTTCCTCAACAGCATGCAGGACTGTTTCTGAAACAGCAGGAGACACCACATCACAGCCAACACGGTTTCATTTAACAATACTGCGTTCAAGTCCCCCTGTGGTCATTCATTTCATCTATTAAAACTCATCTCTGATCACCGAAATTACATGTTTAAACATTTTTTCCTTAAAAATAAAATTCTTTGTGCCTTAAAATATCTTGAATGTAACCCGACACCCTTGCCTCATTTAGTATGCGTGGTTCTATGAATATGCAAATGAGCCCCACCTCCACTCACTCAATCCACTGGTTGACGATCACACGTTGATCTGATTGGTTACAAGGTCGTTTGTGACGTCAGAAACACCAGCGATGTCAAAGCGTGTTTGCTTTTAGTTTCGACTTATGAACTTACACATGGTGTGTGTTAAAGCGTATTAAAACACCACATACACACATAAACAACATTAAAAGCTGGATTAACACCACAAACTTTAAGAAAAATAAAACAAAGGGGACAAAAGTACTTGCCAGAAGGGCTTCAAATGGGTTTAAAATATCTCTCAAGAAGCAATGTATGAAGTTTGTTTTAAAAAATATATATATAGAATTATTAAAACATTTTGTTAATTTTTTTTTGTAATTTTGTTGTGTATTTATAATTAGTATTTTTCTAATTATATACTATTAATAATTAGTATTTTTTTCCATATCCATATTTTTATGAATTGTCTATTATTTATTAATTTATTTAGCTATATTAGTACATCATGTTTAACTAAATTAAAATGAGTTAATTTTTTATTTTAGTTGAAAAAAAAAAAGAATTTAATTTTAGTTAAAGTTTGTTTTTATTTTCCTTTAACCGAAGTTTTTTTTTATGGTTGTAGTTTACTATAATAACCCTGTCATAAAGTATTTTTAATTAAGTATTAATGTATGATAGGAAAATCAAACCACATCACATTTACAGAAAGAATTTTGGATAAAAAAAGTAAAAAAAAAAAAAAAATTATTTAGTGATTTTCGTTACATAAATAAAACTAGTTGAAATAAAAGTTATTTTAATATTTAATTACATCAAGTTAAACTAAATTAAATAAAAGTAGCTGAAATAAATATTAAAATAACTTTAATTTCAGCTAGTATTATTTCTAAAATAACTAAGATTACATATTAAAATAACTTTAGTTATTATCATACAAGTTAAACTAAACTAGCTGAAATGAAAATTATTTTAATATTCAATTTGAGTTATTTCGTACATCAAGTTAAACTAAATGAAATAAAATATAGCTTAAATATTAGAGAACTAAGAATACATAGTAAAATAACTTTAGTTATTTTCGTACATCAAGTTAAACTAAATGAAATAATTCTAGCTGAAATGAAAGTTATTTTAATATTTAATTCTATTTAAAATAAGGTGATTTTATTTCAGGCAACAGAAGTTATTTATTGGTTTTGGTTTTAGGTTTAGTTAACTATTAAAAAGTACTCATGTGTTAAAATCCTTGTCTGAAAACGAACAACACTTAAAATTTGCAAAATTTTCAGGTATTTGGGATTTTTCGAAAACCTACTTTTGCAGTCATAGTTTTTTATTTTATTTTTTATTTGCATGAACATGAAGAGTTGAATGAAGTTGTTGTTTGCACACAAACAGTATTCACTTCGTGTGATAAACTTAAGGTTGAGGGAGTATTTTAATGATGTATTTACTAACTTTCTTTTAAAGGAACACTCCGACTTTTTGGGACTTTAGCCTATTCACCTTACCCCCCAGAGTTAGATAAGTCCATACATACCTTTTTCATCTCCGTGCGTGCTATAAGTCTGTTTGACGCACCCACCGCTAGCCTAGCTTAGCACAAAGACTGGATGTGAATGGTTGCAGCTTTTATACTAATCCAAATGAGTGACAAAATAACGCAAACGTTTTCCTATTTACATGTTGTGGTTTGTATAGTCACAGAGTGTGCAAATATCAAGGCCATATGAGACACAGACATCTTTTGACCGTATAAATACTATATTTTCTGAAGGGGAAGCACTGCTACTTGGGCAGAGTGATAACAATCACCTGAGACGCACCGTGACGAGGAGCAGAGAGTTCGCTTCGCTCAGCGTTGGAATAAAGAGTCATTAATTACTAACGTTAGATAGAAAAGCATAGTTTATCATGGGTGTTTGCTTTATTGTATGAGCTGTGACAATAAACAGGGGAGACCAGGTAATACAGTACCATGTTTCATTGATTTCCAACCAAAAACGCACCCAGATTTATAAATATCACATGAATAAATAATTATTATTACAGGAATCAATATGTTTTAAATGCAATTTATTAGCTGAACCAAATGTATTCAACAGTAAATACATTTGCCTATATAATATACAGTTTTGCATTACTATAGGATAGAATAAGGGGAAAGTAATAGCACAAATTGTTTTTGCACAATGAACTCACAGCCTATCGTACCCTTTTGCACGCTCAAGTTCGTTATTTCCATGGTTATTTCAAATTTAGGCTACTAGGCGCGCCGCGCGCAGGGTGCAATTTCAAGTTTTTTTTCCCAAGCGCGTCCGCACCGCATCAAGATAAAAACATATTCATACCCTAATCATATAATAGTGTCACTAACGTTACATTAGCTCTGGCTAATGGCACTGTTACAGTAGGTCATCTAAAAACATAACGGAACACTTACCTCAGCTGCAGGTGATCCACTTGTCCTGTCTGTGCTATCGATGGGATGGCCGTATCCTTCAGCACATTATGGTCCGTGTGGCAAATTCCATTTTTTCAAAATAGTCGTCCATTGAAATGTACCGAGCAAACATAATGTCCCTTGATAATCTTAGGTGTGTTTGGATAAATATCCAGAGTAAGTTAGCCATTTCTTCATCCAGTCAGCGTTTTTAGTTGGAATTCTGTGAAACAAGGTATTACCTCCCCTGTTTACAGTCGCAGCTATTTACAATAGAGCGAAAACCCATGACTGTAAACTACGCTTTTACTATTTATAAATTGCTGACTCTGTTACCCAAACACTGAGCGAACTCTCCGCTCCTCACCACGGCGTGTCTCCGATGATGCGGTTATTACGCCGTCAAAGTAGCAGTGCTTCGCCTTCAGAGAATAGTTCCCAGGTTTTATACGGTTAAAAGATGTCTGTGTCTCATTTGACTTTGTTATTTGTACATTATGTGACTATACAAATCACAACATGTAAATAGGAAAACGTTTGCGTTATTTTGCCACTCATTTGGATCAGTATGAAAGCTGCAACCAGTCACATCCAGTCTTTGTGCTAAGCTAGGCTAGCGGTGGGTGCGTCAAACAGACTTATAGCACGCACGGAGATGAAAAAGGTATGTATGGACTTATCTAACTCTGGGGGGTAAGGTGAATAGGCTAAAGTCCCAAAAAGTCGGAGTGTTCCTTTAAGCCTATGGAGGAGTGATCCAGCGCTCAGATGAAGAAGATGAACAAAGTCTTACGGGGTTGAACAACATGAGGGAGAGTCAACATGGGTGAACTATCCCTTTAAATTCAAAGCAAGTATTTTAGGATAAAAGCATCATTTACCTGCACATTAACGTTAGCGGGGTGATTCTTCATGGCCTGCAGGGCCGCTAGCGCGCCGCCACACTCCATGATGACTTTACAGTTGTTGGGTTTGCGGAGGGCGAGAACACACAGCGCCGCACATCCCTGCTCACACACCTGACCCAGCGACAGCAAAACACACGAGGAAACAACTGGGGTTATGAGGAGCTTCAGAGTTAGCGTAGATTAACAAGTGATCTTCAGCTGAATTAGTTAGACACACAGTGTTTTTGTCAATTATAACTAATGTTTATGAAAATAACTGATTAGACATTTTTCTCTTCAATACTGTTGAAACAATGAACACAGCCGATAACTTAAGTCTTTAAATTTGTTTGAAGCGCAAATTGTTTTCAGATAAATGTATGAATGTGCACTACTGTCGAAAGATTTGGGGTCAGAACACATATTTTTATTCAACAATGATTGATCAAAAGTTAATGTTACAAAAGCTTTTATCAAATAAATACTGCTTTTATTCATCAAGAAATCCTGCACAGAAATATAAACTGTTTTCAACACTGATAATAATCATAAAGTCATCAGATCCTCATATTAGAGTGATTTCTGAAGGATCATGTGACAATGATGCTGAAAATACAGCTTTGATCACAGGAATAAATTAAATTTTAAAATATATTCACATAGAAAATAGTTGTTAATAAATTGTAATAATATCTCACAATTTTTACTGTATTTTAGATCAAATAAATGTGGTCCTGGTGAGCAGAAGAGACTTTTTTTTTAAAATGTTAATGAATGTCTAACATACTTTTGAACTGTAGTAACACTCAAAATGTGAATCAATTAATTAGTCTCAACTTAGCAGCATTTAATTATATATTAGATCTTCTTTAGGAGGCATTTTAAATACTGAATATTTTTTATCATCATCATCATCATCCTCAATTGTTTCTGGAAATAGCCCTTGTGTAACAAGCATTTGAAGTGGATCAAAAACGTTTTAAACAATACCGTTTGGTAATACCATACATTAATTTAGAGTTTAACAGGCATTCTGGATAATAATGTAATAATAGTGAGAGGACACACACCTGTGCATTGCCCATGTGACGGTTCATCGCCATCATGATGAGTTCCCCCCCGCCTGCATTCACGACAGCGTCTTTAACGTCATCATTTCCTGCGATGGCCTTCAGGGCGCTGAGCACCTGCTTCACGAGCTCCTGCGACAAAGTTCACAAACCATCAACAAGACAAAAACTCTCATCAGCCGTAACCCTTCATTGCGATTTGAAAATACGCCCAATGGAAACACGTCAATTTTGGCAAAACTTGAAAAGTTGTTACGCTCGCATGAGGCAATTCGAAAAATAAATATTTCACAAAACTGCCGTTTTTGTGCATTTACAGTCAGCTGACGGAGATGAGCCGGTGTGTTGGGACAGAAGACGAGATTAAACTCATAAAACAAACTCACTGCAAACAATGCTTTTCTTAGTATTTTTGTCTTGTTTCCATTCCAAATATCAAAATTTCTGGTAACACTTTACAATAAGGTTCGTTAGTTAACATTAGTTAACTGCATCAGTTAATATGAACTAATAATGAATAGCACATATACAGCATTTGTTAATCTTTGTTAATGTTATTTTCAACATTTACTAATACTTGATTAAAATCTTGAACTAACATGAACTAACATGAACAAACAATAAACAGCGGTATTTTCATGAACTAACATTAACAAAGATGAACAAATGCCGTAACAAATGTATTGCTCATGGTTAGTGCATGTTAGTAAATACATTAACTAATGTTAACTAATGAACCTTATTGTAAAGTGTTACCAAATTTCTTAAATCAGGATGCATTACTAAAGTAGTAAAAATGACATATTAAGTCTTGTTTTCTGTGTTTTGGCTTAAAAAACAAAAAAACAAAACAAATGACCAGCCAATGGGGTAAAAACTGGGGTATTTTTCTCACCCCATTGGCAGATAATTTAGCTCTTTTTAAGCATCAACTCACTTAATTTTGATTAATTCCCCCGGGAAACGGACAAAATATCTTATGTAATTTTAATCATCAAGTTAGTAAATCCATCTTGATGTGGAAATCCATCAGTGCAAACTGTTGAAAGGGCTTTAAACGACACCAGACGATGAATAAGGGTCTTATCAAGCAAAACCATCCGTCAATGAATCAAATGACACGAAAAAAGATTTGTTCATTTTGATCAACGAGTTCGAACAGGAGAGTCATGAATGCGCATTACAAAACAGAGCAAGACGAGCATTTGAGCTTATAAAACTTAAACTTTGTTATTTATTTATTAAATGAGTGCTCGTTTCGCTAGATAATACTCTTATTCATCGTTTAAAGCCCTTTGAAGCTGCACTGAAACTCTCATTTGGACCTTGAACCGTTTGGTCCCCATTGAAGTCCATTATATGGATTATAAATTATAAAAACCTTAATTTATTTTCGACTGAAGAAAGAAAGACATGGACATCTTGGATGACATGGGGGCGAGTAAATCATCAGCAAAGGTTTTTTTTAAAGTGAACTACTCCTTTGGATAGTAACTTGGATAACACACATATACACACACACACACACACACACACACACACACACGTTCCCTTCCATTAATAATGGCCAGTGCGGTGGATGGGATATATAAACCTACCAACCTCTGTCGCCATGATTTCTGGAATTCATACACCGCAATTTCGCAATAGTTTTTTGTCGACATTTAGAAGAAGAAGAAAAAAAAAACGCAAAAGTTTTGCGCAAATCTGTAATGGAAACGCTGCTGTGAGACTGAAGATGCAGTCGCTCACCGGACTATCTAGCCCGTCCGCCAGGAGTGTGATCATGAAGTTCAGGCCGCCGAGGTCCACGATGTCCTGACAGAACTCGTTTCTCACGGCCAGACGGGACAGAGCGGCGCACAGTTCACTGAGAACTGAGGTGTTTTCTGAGTGAGCTGAGATCAGAAGACATAAACATCATCATCATCATCATCATCATCATTCATAAACTAACATACACTGGCGGTCAATTAAGATTTTTAATGTTTTTGAAGGAACTCTTGTGTTCGACAAGGCTGCATTTATTTGATCAAAAATACTGTAAAAACAGTGAAAGATTATTTGAATTTGAAAAATAGCTGTTTTCTATGTGAATAAATGTTAAAGTGTAATTTATTCCTGTGATTTTCTGCATCATTACTCCAGTCTTCAGAGTCACATGATCCATCAGAAATCACTCTAATATGAGGATCTGATGATCAAGAAACATTTATGATTATTATCAATGTTGAAAAAGGTCGGGTTGCTTCATATTTTTGAGGAATGAAAGTTAAAAAAAAGTACTTTTATTCATTAATGAAACACTAAAATCATCAAAAGTCAGAGTAAAGACATTTATGTTACAAAAGATTCTATTTAAAATAAATGTTCATCAAAATATCCTGAAAAACAAAATGTTGCATGATTTCCACAAAAATATGAGGCTGTTTTCAACATTGATAATAATCATAAATGTTTCTTGAGCATCAGATCCTCATATTAAAGTGATTTCTGAAGGATGATGTGACACTGAAGACTGGAGTAATGATGCTGAAAATTCACAGGAATAAATTACACTTTAATACATATATTCACATATAAAACATCTATTTTAAATTGTAATAATATTTCACCTTTTTTTACTGTCCTTTCAAATAAAATAAGTGCAGCCTTAGAGATTTTCTTCAAAAACATTAAAAAAATCTTAGTAGTGTATATGCGGATATTCTTTGCCCGGTCGTTACACTAAAAATATTTGTAACACTTTACAATAAGGTTTGTTAATTAACACTAGTTAACATGAACTAGTAATGAACTGCATGTATACAGCATTTATTAATCGTTGTTAACGTTAATTTCACCATTTACTAATACTTCATTAAAATCTTGTTAACATGTGAACTAACATTAAAGGAGTAGTTCACTTTAAAAAAAAACTTTTGCTGATAATTTCCTCACCCCCATGTCATCCAAGATGTCCAAGTCTTTCTTTCTTCAGTCGAAAAGAAATTAAGGTTTTTGATGAAAACATTCCAGGATTTTCTCCATATAATGGACTTCAATGGGGTCCAAACGGTTCAAGGTCCAAATGAGAGTTTCAGTGCAGCTTCAAAGGGCTTTAAACGACACCAGACGATGAATAAGGGTCTTATCAAGGATTTGACTCGAAAAAAGATGTCATTTTGATGAACGAGTTCGAACAGGAGAGTCGCGAACGAGCATCACAGAAGAGCAAGGCGAGCATTTGAGCTTATAAAACATAAACTTTTTTATTTATTTTTGAAATGATCGCTCGTTTCGCTTGATAAGACCCTTATTCATCATCTGGAATCGTTTAAAGCCCTTTGAAGCTGCACTGAAACTCTCATTTGGACCTTGAACCGTTTGGTCCCCATTGAAGTCCATTATATGGAGAAAATCCTGGAATGTTTTCATCAAAAACCGACTGGGCAAAGAAAGACATGGACATCTTGGATAACATGGGGGTGAGTAAATCATCAGCAAAAGTTTTTTTAAAGTGAACTCCTTTAACAAACAATGAACCGCTGTATTTTTATTAACTAACATTAACAAAGATTAACAAATATAGCAACCAAGTCATGTTACCAATTTATTTATCATTGCATGCCTCACCTTTAGCAGCTTCAACAATGACTTTCAGTCCGTTCTGCTCCACCACGATCATCCTGGCGTGTTCATGAGCCTGTCCAAAGGGAACGCGCACGTCGTCGTCAAAGGTCATGACCCTGAGCGCGGCACAGGCCTCCCTCACGACCTCGGGATGTGCGATGTGGCGTGTGATGCTCTGGGTGAGCAGCGGCAGCACGCCCGCCTTCACCAAACCCTGCCTGTTGTTCTCGTGTTTCAGACAGACGTGGCGTACGATGCGGACACACAGGCCGGTGAGAGAGGCGTCCGTCTGGTGCGCAGTTAAAGCGCCGATCAGAAACTCTCGGCCCTCCACGTCCAGGAGATCCGGCTGGCCGTCTGTTAGCACTGAGAGAGCGGTAAGAGCAACGGAGAGCTCTTCTTTCTCTTCACCGGCTCTCCGGCAGCAAGCGAGGATTGTGGGATACGCCTCCTTTTCAGCGGCCAGGTATCGCTGTGCGAAGCTGAGGGAACACTGTTCGGTGAAGACTCTCAGATCCTCCCGGACAGATGCGGACGGCGACACCAATGCCGTTTTGAGGGACTCTAAAGCCTAAAAATATGCCATCGGATATATAGAAATGTAATGAAAGGAATTTACATAGAAAACATGCCAGTCTCTGTGGGAGTGAGGAGGTTAGTTTAGCTGCAAAACATCTGAAATGAAGATATACCTGGAGAACCTCGTGAGTTTGATTCTCTGCGTTTTCTTCAGAACAAACTTTCGGCACTGCTTTAACGATGAAGGTGAGATCCACACCTGTGAGGAACAAGCAAATCACTTCATTTACAATGTAATAGTGTGAAGTAGAAAAAGTTAAATCACTATTTTTTAGTTCACTTAAATAGTCGTGCAATGAAAAAATAGAATTTTTAAAAGTATATTCCATGTAGACCCGAAATTAATATGAGCTATGTGAGATACCAAGGTAAATGTTGTTTGAACTAGTTTTAGATGGAGTTCAGCATGTTGCACTGCAGTATGTGTGTGTATATTATTTTTATTTTTTACGTATAAATATGCATTCTTGTATATACATGCATGTATACCTTTGTGTACTATATGTCCACATGCATGCACATACATGTTCATTTATATGTCCACATGCAAGCATATATGTTCATAAATATGTCCACATGCATGGACATAGATGTTCATAAATATGTCCACATGCATGCATATAAATGTTCATTTATATGTCCACATGCATGCATTTACATGTTCATTTATATGTCCACATGCATGCATATACATGTTCATTTATATTTCCACATGCATGCATATACATGTTCATTTATATTTCCACATGCATGCATATACATGTTCATTTATTATGTCCACATGCATGCATATAGATGTTCATATATGTCCACATGCATGCATATACATGTTCATTTATATTTCCACATGCATGCATATACATGTTCATTTATATTTCCACATGCATGCATATACATGTTCATTTATATTTCCACATGCATGCATATACATGTTCATTTATTATGTCCACATGCATGCATATAGATGTTCATATATGTCCACATGCATGCATATACATGTTCATTTATATTTCCACATGCATGCATATACATGTTCATTTATATGTCCACATGCATGCATATACATGTTCATTTATATGTCCACATGCATGCATAAACATGTTCATTTATATGTCCACATGCATGCATATATATGTTCATATATATGTCCACATGCATGCATATACATGTTCATTTATATGTCCACATCCATGCATATACATGTTCATATATATGTCCACATGCATGCATATATATGTTCATATATATGTCCACATGCATGCATATACATGTTCATATATATGTCCACATGCATGCATATACATGTTCATATATATGTCCACATCCATGCATATACATGTTCATATATGTCCACATGCATGCATATACATGTTCATATATATGTCCACATGCATGCATATACATGCATATACATGTTCATATATATGTCCACATGCATGCATATACATGTTCATATGTCCACATGCATGCATATACATGTTCATATATACATCCACATGCATGCATGCATGCATGCATCCACCTATCTATCTATCTATCTATCTATCTATCTATCTATATATATATATATATATATATAGCAGTGTACACAAAATAATTAAGCAGACACATGAAATAAAACTAAAAGCAGAGATGATTTTTCATTTGTTAAACAAGTTAGGAATTGAACCTCTACTGTAATTATTCCATAACTCACCCTGAGACTCAAACTGCTCGATGGCCTCTTTCAAAGCTTCGCTGCCATCCATGTCAAACTCCTCAATGTTTTCTCTGACCACAGCATCAAAGGTCTCCTGAGTTATCCTGCGTTTCGGCATGACTGCATCAGATGCTAAATAAAACATCACAAAAAGGGTGCAGTTTCAGTTCAGTGCTTCCGTTTGACTATATTTTATAGTCTGTGTTTTAGACATGTACCATAATAATGCCATGGTATTGAGTAAAGTACATTCGAGAAACTTCAAATACCGTTGTACATTTGGAAAGCGTTTAATATTATTGTATCACAATCTGATTAACGTCACTAACGTAACGTACCATACAGACGCGGTACACTGCAATCAAGCGTGAATAACACAAAAACATTGTTTATTTACGTAAAATACTCCCTGTATGTTACAGTACCTGAGGGTAACATTTATTAGTATCCAAAGCGATCTAAAACAAAACTGATAATAATCCTGAAACTCACCAACACCCAACCTGGACCTTTATGATAAACCCACCCTGGAGATGAGAAGATGCAGTACGCAAACAGCGCAAGCGTAGAACAGCAACTAAACCCAACGGAATTTAACTGACGCAAACGCTCCGTGAATCCCTCCCTGCGTTGCGTTGTCTTTAATGTTGCTCGGGTGAGATCTGTGAGAGAAATAGGTTCCGCCTCAAAATATTTCTGAAATGTTTTACAAAGTGCTTGTTTCACAAGTAAAGAATTAAAATACGAATGAATAAATTGATTAATTAAAGATTAACATAAAAGTAATGCAAAAGACACAAAATGTTAAGGAAACTGAAAATTGATAGCGTTTATTTTGTATGTATTTATTTTACAGCTATTTAATTATTTAAATAATTAATATTTATTTGTTATATTTTGACATTTTTATATTCATGGATATGGCATTTATTTATTTATTATACAACTAACGTCCCATTTAATATGCATGAATGTGGCATTTATTTATTTACATATATATTGCACAACTAGCGTCATATTCAAACGTCATATTTATTTATTTATTTACTTGCAGTACTTAAATATTGTACAAATAGCGTCATGGATATGGCATTTATTTATGTATTTACTTACTTACTTAAATATCGTACAACCAGCGTCATATTTAAGCATTTGTATGGATGTGGCATTTATTTAGTTATTTATTTACTTAAATATTGCACAACTAGTGTCATATTTAAGCATTTATATGTGGATGAGGCATTTATTAATATATTTTAATTATTTATATTAAAAAAATATCTTTATTTCAGCCATGCCATTTAACTGATAAATGATGTATTTCATATAATTTTACTGTTGAACACATGTGTGACACTAGGCGGAGCTATATATTTCAGCGTTGTCTCTGCGTCATGACGCTCAGATGAACGCGTCATCTGGATATAAGCGCGCGCGGCGCGTGACGCGTCCTTCTCCCCTGCCTGTCCCCACCAGCGGAAGGCAGCGTGCTCTCTGTTCCAATATCAGTGCTGAGTGAATCCAGAACCATCTGCCAAAATGGTGCGTATTAATCATATTGTTTGATTAGATACCGTTGCGCGGAGAGCCGATTCAGGTGTTGAATTCGTCATTTTTGAGTTTAACGGGATTTTCGGCTAGATGTTAAAGGGAAAAGGCCGGCCAGTTGTTTTCCACAAAACAAAATGGCAGCGGCTGTTTTGCGGCATGACTCATTTATTAAAACACTTTGCGTATTATTTGTCGTTGTTTTGTAACTGTGTAATAAATAGTGTATTACATTCTCATCGAAATGACTCGAATCACGGCCTTATTGTATAATTTTGAGTCGTTTAGTTTGGTTTTCCCGGTTCTGTCAGACCGGGTTGTTAGCCGTTAGCTCACGATGCCACGTATTGTGGAAAATAAAAAAGAATCGCGTGATTGAGGAAAACCCATTTACAACTCGCTGGTGGCCCTTTCTGTAATTCTCTATCTTCATATGGTATTTCGACTCCTGGTTCTTGTGTTTTCCGTGTGTGGTTTTATCCACTATGCCGGTTGGTCTAACGGCAGGTGTCGGGAGTGTTCCGACTGGCCGCACGCGCACCGGCATTCCGCAGTCACATGGGCACAGTGACGTCACCAGTGCGTGTCCCGCATGTGCGGGTTTATCAGCGTGGCCACATCATCAAGCACATGGCCGCCTATTGTTTGCGCAACAGCTTCCGGGAGAAAGGGCGCAAAGAGATTCATATTTATGGAGGTTCATTTATTCTCCATTGCGTGTAATATAACCCCGCAGTAAATAAAGAAACAACAACAAAAACTGCTTAAATGGCAGTTTATTATCGTTATACTTTTGACTGGTTCTGATATATGCACCTGACACGTGATTTATATTGAACGTGACACGTTTGATATTTAAATTTGGGTAGCACACTATTTGAGTTCTTAATGTACATGCATGTGTATGAATGAAACATAAATACACACGATATATTAAATGCACACATTGGGTTAGCATTTAAAGTGGATCAAAAAAGTGAATCAAAGTTGTCCTAAAACAAATGTATTGTCAACTATTGTATTTGTGTATATGTACATGCACAATACAGTATACTTTATTGTCCCCTTAGGTAAATTTAGTGTATACTTCATTTCCAAAACGCATTACATAAATGAATGGCAGAAACGGAGTAGATGGGTGTCTTATTGCACAGCTCAAAAGGCCACTGCTATTGCACAAATAACGCCTGGATAAATCATAAGACCAGCAATAAATAACTAACAGTAAATAAGAATTGTAATATAAATCAATAATGTTAGAGATTAAGTGCTAACCTGGGACTTTCGTGCCTTTGTTCTTGCCATTCAAAATTCATTTGGAGTTTATAAACTGGTCAAGTTGACATAACTTTGATTTTAATTTATTACTTAACTCTCTAATCAAGAACTATTAGCCGAACTGATGAAGTTCACACATTATTTAAAACAAGTGAACAGTCAGTAATAAAATAAGAACAAATGCACGAGTTACATGCAGAGATTAATACTAAGTAACAAACACTATTCAGGTACAGAAGTTAATAATTTAGCCTAAATGTAAAGTAGCTTAGTTCACTGTTAAATTAAATATATTTTAATCTTTGTTAAAGCTGTATTTTGTTGTTTTGTTAATATTAATGACACAGACAACTGTAGGAATATTAGGTGTGTGCCGTCACTTAAGACCGAAGAAACTGACAACATACGGTTTCTTTCTCAACTCTTGATGGTTAAATTTAGCAGTGAATACTTTCCTGGATCAGCTGCGATCCCCTAGCTCATATCATGTTTAGAGCGATGGATGTTCTTCCCACTTTCATTTCATCTCACTGCTGTCTTCCAGGTGAACTTCACAGTCGACCAGATCCGTGCCATCATGGACAAGAAGTCCAACATCCGTAACATGTCCGTGATTGCGCACGTAGACCACGGGAAATCCACACTGACCGATTCTCTGGTGTCCAAGGCTGGGATCATCGCTTCCGCCCGCGCCGGAGAGACCCGCTTCACTGACACTCGCAAAGATGAGCAAGAGCGCTGCATCACCATCAAGTCCACGTAAGAATTTTAACATTTGCAAGCCTGTAAATAAAATGCAATTAAATGCATATAAACATTAGCATGCATAACCAAACCTGGAAATATCAGGGAATTTTAATATTTCGAGCATGTAAGTAAAATGCATTGAAATATAAGCATGCATAACCAAACCTGGAAATATTAAGGAATATTAATATTTCGAGCCTGTGAATAAAATGCAAAGAAACATAAGCATGCATAACCAAACCTGGAAATATCAGGAAATTTTTATATTTCGAGGCTTTAAATAAAATGCATAGAAACATTAGCATGCATAACTAAACCTGGAAATATTAGGGAATTTTAATAATTCGAGGCTGTAAATAAAATGCAATTAAATGCATAAAAACGTTAGCATGCACAACAGGCATTATTAATGTTAATATTTCGAGGCTGTAAATAAAATACATAGAAACATAAGCATGCATGAGCAAACCTGGAAAAAATTGGGCAATTTTAATATTGGAAGCCCAAAAAAAAAGCGTAATTTTTTTTTATATATATATATATATATATAATATATATTTAAAAAAAAAAAGTGACATTTCAGGCCTGTAATTTAAATGTATATAAACATAATCATGCATAAATAAATCTGGAAATATTAGGATATTTTAATATTTCAAGCCTTTAAATAAAAGACTGTTAAATGCATATAAACATTAGCATGCATCACTAAACCTGGAAATATCAGAGAATTTTAATATTGGAAGCCTGTAAATCAAATGCATTTCAAGCCTGTAAATTAAATGCATATAGATGTCATCTTGCATAACTAAACATGGAAACGTCAGGGGATTTTTAATATTGCAAGCCTAAAAATTAAATGCAAAACATTATCATGCATTTCTAAACCTGGAAATTTCGGGGCATTTTAACATTTCAAGCTAGTATATTAAATTGATAAAAAGACAATCATGCATAACTAAACCTGGAAATATCCCTGAGCTTTAATATTGCAATGCAATCAAACCATCATCCATGTCATGACTGCAAATGATATTGTAGGGAGTGATTGTGATATGCATGAGGGCAAAGTACCTGCCATGTCAGTGCTTTATGGGATTGCATCCCACTCTGTTCTCCATGTTGAGAGAACCAACCCTGTGCCCTAATCCCTGTCATGACTAACATAACCCAAACCAGTTACCTGTGACATGCTCACTAGCACAGAAACAAAAGCAGTCGAGTGTCTAATGCTGATGTGCAAAGATCATGTTGTGTTGTGCTCTTCAACAGCGCCATCTCCCTGTACTACGAGCTGAGCGAGAATGACTTGGCCTTCATTAAGCAGTGTAAGGATGGGTTGGGTTTCCTCATCAACCTGATCGACTCTCCCGGCCACGTGGACTTCTCCTCGGAGGTCACGGCCGCCCTGCGCGTCACAGATGGAGCCCTTGTTGTGGTGGACTGCGTCTCTGGTAAGTGTCATGTTTACTGTGCATCATACCGTCATTGATGCGTTATACCAAATTAATCCCCAAACTCGGTCTTAAAAAGAATTGATCACTTAAGGACATATTCAATAAGATTATGCCTGAAACGGTTTTTTTGAAAAACGCTTGAATTATTGAAAAGCAATATATGTAAAGTTAGTTTAATTTTATTGTCTGATAATAGAGCCGGTTCGCATATGGATATGTGTGTGATATTGCTCATATAAATTAGGGATGCAACGATATGAAAATTTTGGCTGATACCGATAACCGATAATTCTTTATATTTGAAAGCCGATAACCGATATATCGGTCGATAAACTTAAATCCAAATTATCTAATTTTGAGAGCCTGATTACAAAAACAAAAGTCTCACAATTAAATCCACGTCCCAAGCGCACAATTATAATGATGTTCTCATTATAGTGTTGTATAGCCGATATGACGGATGTTTTCCCGAACCAGATCTTCATTTTTTGAAGAGATTTCAATCATATTTCAAGAAATTCAAAAACAAACAGTTCTCAACAACTGTCTCAGCTGAAGGGAATAACACATTATTTATCGGTTTTAATATATCGGCCACGTTTTCTTACCAGGCCGATAACAATAACATTAAAAATGAACATATATCAGCCTATGCCGATATATCGTGCATCCCTAATATTAATATGAGCAATATCACACACATATCCATATGCAAAATGGCTCTATTATCAGACGGGCTGTGGCGTTGATTTTGTGTGAAAAGAATGTTTCAACAATAAAATTTTACTTATTTTATATATTGCCTTTAAATAATTCAAGCATTTTTCATGTACCTTTTCATAAATATGGCTGTTTTCAAGCTTTTAACAACCTTGTACGATCCCTTCTATGAAATCAGATTCAGATTCTTTCATTTAATGCCATGTCAGCATTCAAAGCTATTTTCATGACAAAAATACAAATATCATAAAAAGCAAAACATATTAAACAAGATTTTTTTAATTAACATGATAAATCCAATACCGTTTCAGGCATAATCTTATTGAATATGTCAATTCTTTTTAAGACCGAGTAAGACCATATCGGTATCGGCCGATATATGTTAATTTTTAATGTTATCGGCCTGGTAAGAAAATGTGGCCGATATATTAAAGCCGATAAATAATGTGTTATTCCCTTCAGCTGAGACACTTGTTGAGCACTGTTTATGTTTTTGAATTTCTTGAAATATGATTTGAAATCTCCTCAAAAAATGAAGATCTGGTTCGGGAAAACATCCGTCATATCGGCTATACAACACTATAATGAGAACATCATTATAATTGTGCGCTTGGGACGTGGATTTAATTGTGAGACTTTTGTTTTTGTAATGAGGCTCTCAAAATTAGATAAAAATTTGGATTTAAGTTTATCGGCCGATATATCGGTTATCGGCTTTCAAATATAAAGATTATCGGTATCGGCTAATTTTCATATCGGTGCATCCGATTCCTATCATTCTTCAGGTCAATCATATATTCATTGGTTTGAATAAGGAAAGCAATATCTTTGTCATCATATCCTTTTAATGGTTAAAGTTACAACAGTCGTTGCTTTTGTTGCACTTTATTTATACCATTTTGTTTCATTAGTTTATTTTTTGCTTATCCATTTACCTTTTTTAGAATTTGAAAGATGATATTGTAGTCTTTGAAAGCCAAAAAGCAGTCCTGGACTTTAATTTAGCAGTGTCTGTATGAACCCGGTCACCTTCATGGGGTTTAAATGAGCCGGTTGCTGAATCTGTGTGCTTTTCTCCCAGGTGTGTGTGTGCAGACCGAGACGGTGCTGAGACAGGCCATCGCCGAGCGCATTAAGCCCGTGCTGATGATGAACAAGATGGACCGGGCCCTGCTGGAGCTGCAGCTGGAGCCTGAGGAGCTTTACCAAACCTTCCAGCGCATCGTGGAGAACGTAAACGTCATCATCTCCACGTACGGAGAGGACGAGAATGGACCCATGGGTAACATCATGGTGAGAACACGCACTCCTTTACTTAACCTTTGCTAAAGCGGTCGATGAGGAGAAATCATGCACCACTCTGATGAGCTGACGAACACCTAACACAATATCTGAGACCTGCGCTGATGATCCTTTACGGATTTTGGTAACTCTTTACAATAAGGTTCATTAGTTTATGTGTTAACTATGCAATAGCAATTAGAGGCAGACCGATATATCGGCCGGCCGATATTAGACATTTTCCATAATATCGGTAGTTATAATGGCCGATAAATTAATATTTAAAAAATAAAATAAAAACGGATGAAACGAGCTTTAATCATCTCTCCTTGGCCTGTTATATTGAAAATGTATGTTTTACAATTTGCAGTATGATGTTATCTATTGCATCATAGACTAGCTAACCACAAAGCTAGCTAATGCCACTATCATCAGTGGAAGACCGCTAACGTTAACATTAATGAGCTTGGAAACCACAATGAACTTTTTCTGCCTAAATAAAGTAATGATTACTGTATTTATAACTAGCATATCTCTAGTTACAGTCAAGTTATACTTGCGAGGAGTGAACATTTAGACATGGAGAAAAAGTATCAAACATATCTTGTGCAGAAAAGTTAGCTTTTCTTTTACACGTGTGTGAAATCCAACAATATTTAATAAAAAAAATATATCGGCCGATATATCGGATTTTAAAACCCAAAAATATTTGTATCGGCCTTAAATCCTTTATGTTAGTTAATAAAATCAGTTAATCGTACTTTTTTTTTTTTTTTTTTTTTTTTTTTTTTTTAGGTATAACGCAAACTCTGAATCAACATGCACCTTTAAATCCTTTAACAAACAAGTATTCATTAGTTCAATGAGCTGTTAAATTACATTGTTTAAATACTTTTTAGCGAACTGTGACTGTACATTTCCTGACAAATACAACTTTTGATTTTAATGTATTAGTAAATGTTGAAATTAATATTAACTAAGGTTAAGTGTTCATGTTAACTAAGGAACCTTATTGTAAAGCGTTACCGTGATTTTTAATAGTAACATCGAATGACGATTTCTGATCCGTGTTTGTTTCCTCAGATCGATCCAGTGGTCGGTACTGTGGGTTTCGGCTCCGGTCTGCACGGCTGGGCCTTCACCCTGAAGCAGTTTGCTGAGATGTACGTGGCCAAGTTCGCTGCTAAAGGGGAAGGTCAGCTGAGCCCAGCTGAACGCTGTAAGAAAGTGGAGGACATGATGAAGAAACTCTGGGGTGACAGGTGAGGTTCACGAGGATAGAAATAACAAAATTACCCATAAATATTTTATTGAATAATCGTCAAAAGTTCTCTAATGCTCAGCAATGCTGTTCATTAGATTTAAAAAAAAAAAAAATCAAAACAATATCATGACATTGCAATTTTAAGTTTACTATGTGACTATATAGTAAACTGTAATTTATTCTTGTGATCAAAGCTGAATGTACAGCATCATTACTGCCGTCTTCAGTGTCACATGATCCTTCATCAGGTTTGTATAATACGCTGACTTGCTGCTCAAGAAACTTATAATTATCAATGATTAATTTGTTTTTGATAAATGGAAAGTTCAAACGAACTTTTTATATACATATATATATATAAATATTTTAATATATAGAATCTTTTGTAACATTAGATATGATTAATACATCTTGCTAAAAAAAAAAAAAAACCTTGTAACTTATAAATTACTCATGCTTATTAAATTCAGTTGTTGCATGTTACTAATTTTCTACTTCTCTTCCAGGTACTTTGACCCAGCCAATGGTAAATTCAGCAAGTCCGCCACCAGTCCTGATGGGAAGAAGTTGCCCCGCACCTTCGCCCAGCTCATCCTGGACCCGATCTTCAAGGTATAAATCTGTTTGCTAACTGAACAAGGAGGTACGGTTGGGTACTGTATTCAGTATTCAGTGCCAGTAGCTTCTTTTGGTAGTTTAGGCATGTTTACCTCAATAACTGTGAAGAAACGTAGTCGTTTATAGAAGTGTTATTGACAATATGCCAGAGTTGCTTTGGTTCTTGTCTGTAATGCTTGAAAATTCACAAAACGTGTGGAAAAACATTTCAGAGATTTTTTTTTTTTAAATAGTAAAATGTTTTTTATTCATATTCTAGTAATCAAATGAAGACAAAACATTAAAAAGCAAAAAAAAATCAATTAAATTATTGAACATGAACATCAGTCAAAAACATTTTAAAATGACATTTTAGTTCCTTTTTTTCACCCCTTTATCCCAGCTTAATGCACCCCCCCCCTCCCAGAAAAAAAAACAATAATAATAATGATAAATAAATTTAATAATAATAGTAAATAAATAAAAAACAGAATAGCACAGATAAAAGGGAAAGTAAATAACAATTACAAATAGCAATTTAGATCTCAGAGAAGACAATAAATAAACAATGTTTAGACTTTACAGGACTAGTAAGTTTACACAGAGGTAAAGGACATAGTAAGAATAGTTTCCTAAATATATATATGAAGAGTTCAGATGCAAAAGCCTCTAAATGCCATTTGAAATTTTCTTCTTTAATGATGATTTTTATCAAACTTGTATATTTAAGTTCAGTAATTTCACTTAAATGGCAATGATAATTACCTATTAATTGTTATTTAAGTGAAATTACTGAACTTAAATATACAAGTTTGATAAAAATCATCATTAAAGAAGAAAATTTCAAATGGCATTTAGAGGCTTTTGCATCTGAACTCTTCATATATATATATATATATATATATATATATATATATATAAACCTCACTTTTTATATTACTTTCTCAATTTGGGAAAGAAAGGGACCCCACAATTTTATAAACAAATCATGACATCCTGAGGCTCTTTATATATCATGATCTTTTATATGAAATTTTTTAAACTTTAGTCAAACATGCTGAGCTTTATTCTGATAAAATTACAACATGGTTTAATGTTTGATTAGTCCTTAAAAATATTTTTGATATTTATTTAATAAAAAATGTGTTTTTTATTATTAGTGTTGTAATTAAACTATATAAATTCTACTGTAATGTACAACAGTAATATATTATCAAGTTTAACCAAACTTTTATTTTGAAGGGTTGTGGTTAAGACCTTTTGAGTTTCTGTGTGTGTTCATGATATAATAGATATGACATCACAGAAGTTCATCAGCGTTTTACAGAGCGGCTCTGGAAATGTATTCATGCTCTCATATAGTGAGATGGCAGAGGCTGAAAAACACAGCGAGTGATGAATTAAACCGCGCCACTGAATGCACAACATGCGTGATTCGTGTTTTAATAGTCTCGCGCCCAGGTACCTGAAATTTGACCCTGATGTGAATTGTTACTCGGTAGTACTGAAGTGTAGAGTTCGCTACCCAACCCTACAAACAAGCCTCAAATCTGTTTGATACTCTGGTGATCATACCTCACTTCCTCAACCTCCAGGTGTTCGACGCCATCATGAACTTCAAGAAGGAGGACACCGCCAAACTGATCGAGAAGCTGGACATCAAGCTGGACTCCGAGGATAAGGAGAAGGAGGGCAAGCCGCTGCTGAAGGCCGTGATGCGCCGCTGGCTGCCTGCGGGAGAAGCTCTGCTTCAGATGATCACCATCCACCTGCCCTCTCCCGTCACGGCCCAGAAGTACCGCTGCGAGCTGCTCTACGAAGGACCTGGAGATGATGAAGCTGCCATGGGTACGACCGTCACTAATACACTTCTCTGCTGAGTGCATTTATGCATAGGAATGTGCCTATTATTGCACATCTGGGGAAAATGTATATAATTTTTGGGGTGCACTTTATTTTAAGGTGTCAATGTTAGTGTAATTGTATATTCAAGTACTGTACTTATTATAGGGTTTGGTTGAGGGTTAGTTGCAATTATTTACTATTATTACCATGTTTTATCTGAATACTCTAAACTAGAGCTAAACCGATATATTGTTAGGCTGATATTAGGCATTTTCCAAACTATCGTTATCGGCAGTTATAAACTACAAATAACTAATGTTAGGGAAATCTGTTAATGTTTTGTTGCGCGTTTCTGAAAAAAATAAATATCGGCCGATATATCGGAATATCGGATTTTAAAACCCAAAAATATTTGTATCGGTATCGGCCTTCAAAATCATTTGTTGGTCGGGCTCTGCTCTAAACCGTTTTAAATCATGTTTTAGCCAATCAGAATAACGTTTAATCATCATTCTATGTTGGTGCACTGCTTTCTTCTAAGCACACTATTAGTAGAAAGATGCATCACTATCATGAATCTCTCTCGATAATTAATTGAAATGAATGCTATTTGTTTAAACGAATATCTTGCGCACTACTCAATCAGTGTCTGATCTAAAGCCGGGAAAATTATCCATATCTAATTAGCCGTAACTGATGAAAATAAACATAATTTGTACCCTTCCGGTCAAATAATGTGCTACAAACATTAATAACCGCTTTAACTGGTCAATGCTTGTAATTAACCATGGTATGAGTGGGAGAATCTAGAGCTAGGTGTGCATTAAACTATTATGTCGGGTGCTTCTTTGCTTCAACGTTGTGCATTTATAATAGTTTTAATGCACCGTTAGCCTTTAACGATCTCTTTCATGTCTGATTTTGTTGTTCTCTCCACAGGTGTCAAGAACTGCGACCCGAAGGGTCCCCTCATGATGTACATCTCAAAGATGGTGCCGACCACCGATAAGGGCCGTTTCTACGCTTTCGGCCGTGTGTTCTCTGGTGTCGTGTCCACCGGGCTGAAAGTGAGGATCATGGGACCAAACTTCACCCCTGGGAAAAAGGAGGATCTTTACCTGAAACCCATCCAGAGGTCTGTAGCACTAAACATGCATTGACTATAATTGAGAAAATAATTGAGAAATTTAGGTGTTTAGTCTAACATCTAAAATCCAGAAGTGCATTCACATAATATGTGTGTGTGTGTGTGTATTTAAGAAATATTTGGATGTATATACTATATGCATAAGTTATATTTTATATGCATCACATTTTTCCTAAATGTATACATGCATATAGAATTATTATACACCGTGCACACGCATGCAAACGCGCTTTTATTTTGCATGTGATTAATGTGCCCAGCCCTATTCTTTTTTTGTTATCTGAAAAAGTTAAATCAAGTTTAATAAACTTAAACGGAGCTTTATATAATATTTGGCATTTTTGGGTTTAGCCGTATATATATTTACTGCCAACATTTGATTAACTCTTAAACTAGGTATTAGTGTGTGTATATAGATTTTTTTTTATTTGTTTTTTTTTGTTTTTTGTTTTTTTAGTTTTTTCTTATGTGAAAAAAGAAAAGTGTTAATTTGTAATCTATTGTGTGGTAATATCATTTGGATTAATAAAAAAGTTTGAGCAAAAAAAACTAGGTATTAAAAAAGTGTTCCTCCTTTTTGACCCTGAATGTCAATTCCAGGACCATTTTGATGATGGGGCGTTACGTTGAGCCCATTGAAGACGTGCCATGCGGTAACATCGTGGGTCTGGTTGGCGTGGACCAGTATCTGGTGAAGACCGGGACCATCACGACCTTTGAGCAGGCCCACAACATGCGTGTGATGAAGTTCAGCGTCAGCCCTGTGGTCCGAGTGGCGGTGGAGGCCAAGAACCCTGCTGACCTGCCCAAACTAGTGGAGGGACTCAAACGTCTGGCCAAGTCCGACCCCATGGTGCAGTGCATCATCGAGGAGTCCGGAGAGCACATCATCGCTGGCGCTGGAGAACTTCACCTGGAAATCTGCCTTAAAGATCTGGAGGAGGACCATGCTTGCATTCCACTGAAGGTTTGTGCTTGAACGACGACTTGTGCGACAATTTAAAGTGACACGGGTCCATGGAGGACAAAAATGCCTGTGCTGATGAAGCTTGAAGCTTTTTGAGACCCTTGCTGAAGTAAAGTTTAAAAAGTTATAGAGGATTAAGTTTATGAAAATGATTTATTATTATTATTATTATTATTATTATTATTTATTTAGTACAGGGACAGTGCATATTAATAAACATTTCTGTCAATATGCCAGAATTAATCTAAAGGCTATTTTTCATCTGCAGTCCCAAGACAGTTGTTAAGAGTCACCCTAAAAAAAAGATTACATAGCACTAAAAAAATTAAAATGCATTTAGTAAAATATCTATTATGTTAGAATACATAATCTAAACGCATCAAAACAACAATCGGACAAACATCACGTAAAAACATGACAAACACATAAGGTAAAAAGTCAACAGTGTGTATATAAAGATTTTATAAAAAATTTATATTTTATGGATTATATTGAACTTTAAAAATCAAAGCAATAAATATAAATAAGTTGTGTTCCAAATTTGGATTTAATGTTTCAAAAAATGAGCTTTCAGTAAGATTTGGTTTGGATGCAGTACCGCATTTTCCCCATTAGATGCCAGCAAAACTCAGTTGTGATTTGCTGTAGGTTTTCTCTTCAATATTACACACACACTCAATTTATTACGCACTAACCACACTCTTGGCATCCATAGCAACACACCCGCACAAAATTATAGCTGCATAATTCGCTCGAATATGCAGAAGCAGAAAACGTGAATAAAACGAGTATTTGCTTTATAGGCCAAACCTGAGAGAATTGCACCATCTGGTAAAAAAAAAAGTGGAGAATTGAAAGAAAAAACATGTCTATTCGAAGCAAATCGTTGTGTAAACGTACAATGGTGAAAAGCAGTTTATAAAAACGTCTTTTGATCTTTAAATCATGTAAGTGTATTCTAGCAGACTACCTTTAAAGTGCCCATATTAAGCAAATTTATAGTTTCTTTAGTGATTTAAAACTTGTTTTGTAAGATGGACCCAGAAAAATGAAGTGTTTGTTGTATCTGTCATATTACAATCAGTCTGTGAACCTCTTTCTGCAGTAGATTTAACCCTCAGGTGCTCTTCGGTCATTTCTGACCGAAAAATTTTCTGTTTTAAAATTTGAAAAATCACAGCTTCATCGAAATGTTATGAAATTTGGTGACTTTTATGGCATTGGGTATGTGAAAGCAAAAAAAAATTGAGGTCATGATCTAAGCATGCTAAGTGGTCGGAAAAAAAATAGTCACACTTGTGGTCTTTGGTCAAAAATGACCCCCATAGGAAATGAATGGGAAATTGACAAAAAAACACAAATTCACAACTTTTTATTTATTTATTTAAAAAAAATATTTTAATAAAAAATCGTTTTTGAGATTGTTTCAACTGTATATTCAAATCCACCAAAAAAAAAAAAAGTGTTCATGCCATCTAGTGGTTACACCATGAATCTACGCTTTTCCTCTATACTGTAACCAGATGGTGCTAATTTTCTTCAAAAAATATTTTTTTTCTATATTAAACTAAAATTACTGCATTAATTTTTTGAAAAAAAAAAAATAATATATATATATAGAAAAGTATATATATTTTTCCATGGCAAAAATAGACAATAAATATTGCATAAATATTAATAAATTCAATCTAATTGTCTCAAAATACTAAATTACAAAGAATAAATATTATAGAACAAAAATAAATGCCATTGGTTTTACTGGGATGGAGGAAATTAAATTTTTTGGTGTTTTGACCGGGAAGATAACAAGTGTGACTCCGACACGAAGAGCACCTTATGGTTAAAAGCAACTACCCTGACGTAACCTATAACCTGTCGATCTGGCTCCCCAACAGAAATCGGACCCCGTCGTGTCATACAGGGAGACGGTCAGTGCAGAATCCGACCAGATGTGCTTGTCCAAGTCCCCCAACAAACACAACCGTCTCTACATGAAGGCCAGGCCGTTCCCAGACGGTCTCGCCGAAGACATCGACAAGGGTGACGTGTCGTCCCGTCAGGAGCTCAAGACCCGAGCCCGTTATCTGGCCGACAAATACGAGTGGGAGGTCACAGAGGCCCGTAAGATCTGGTGCTTCGGACCCGACGGGACCGGACCCAATATGCTGGTGGACGTGACCAAGGGAGTGCAGTACCTGAACGAGATCAAGGACAGCGTTGTTGCTGGCTTCCAGTGGGCCACTAAAGAGGTGAGACGCTCAGAATTAATGAGGTTTGGGTTATTAACGGGTCTGTTGATGTCCTGTCTGGTCTATGATGAGAAATCATGCACCACTCTGATGAAGTGATGGATAACCCCTACCACTATTATCTGAGACCTCCACAGACATGAACACACTCAGATCGAGTGCTGTATTGAGGGACGATTGTTCCATTTTGAATATTTTATTATATTTAGAGATGTCATGATGCATTCGTTACGATTCGATACAAGCCTTCAGTAATATATTAAGTCTTTGTCTCATAATCGGGTCTAATCCAAATTCAAGTCTTTTACGATGCTACGGTCTTTGGATTTAAGTTTGAGAAATGGACGTTAAATGGAGAGTGAAATCTCGGGTTTACATTTTATAATTAGGGGTGTCGCGGTACAAAATTGTGATACTTAACTTAAAATGATGCTATCGCAGTATGTTTTAGCGAAAATAAAAGTTTTTATTATTGCATCAGGACCCACAAATATTCCCCTACTGTGTTCTACATTATATTCAACATTGTATTAATATTATATATCATATAGCCTTCGTGTCACTTCAGAAGATTTGGTTTAGACATGAAAAGACGATGTCTTTGACACTAAGTTTGAGGAATGGAGAGCGAGAGGTTACTATTTGGGTGAATACTTTATACAGAAAGCTGAGCCTTGCATAAAATTAGTCAATCTTTTTTATATTGTGATATAATTACACCCCTAATTATAAATGTAATATTAATTAGAGCCGGCCGATATTAGGCATTTTCCATAATATCGGTATCGGCAGTTATAATGACCGATAAATGAATATTTTAAAAAATAAAATAAAAACGGACGAAACACGCTTCAATCATCTCTCCTTGGTCTGTTATATTGAAAATGTATGTTTTACAATTTGCAGCATGACGTTATCTATTGCATCATAGACTAGCTAACCACAAAGCTAGCTAATGCCACTATCATCAGTGGAAGACCGCTAACGTTAACATTAATGAGCTTGGAAACCACAATGAACTTTTTCTGCCTAAATAAAGTAACGATTACTGTATTTATAACTCGCATATCTCTAGTTACAGTCCCTGAATTGTAAAATGTAAGTTATACTTGCGAGGAGTGAACATTTAGACATGGAGAAAAAGTATCAAACGTATCTTGTGCAGAAAAGTTAGCTTTTCTTTTACACGTGTGTGTGAAATCCAACATTTAATAAAAAAAATATCGGCCGATATATCGGATTTTAAAACCCAAAAATATTTGTATCGGCTTTAAATACTTTATCAGTCGGGCTCTAATATTAATCCTAATGGTTTAAGACTTCTTTTTTTTTTTTTTACTTTCCTGTTCCTGATGTTCAGCTTTATTTGCTGAATATGAGTGTTTTGCGAGTGTTATTGTGACGCGTTCTCACGGTCTTGTGTCTCTCCTCAGGGTGTGCTGTGCGAGGAGAACATGCGCGGCGTCCGCTTCGACATCCACGACGTGACTCTCCACACGGACGCCATCCACCGCGGCGGAGGCCAGATCATCCCCACGGCCCGCAGGGTTCTGTACGCCTGTCAGATCACCGCCGAGCCCAGACTCATGGAGCCCGTCTACCTGGTGGAGATTCAGGTGAGCGGACACCTGCTAGAATGAGACTTTTTATATAGCTTAGGTTTATCAGGGTTCCCACGGGTCCTTGAAATCCTTATTTATTTTTTCAATTTCACAAACTTTCAAGACCCTTGAAAGTTTTTAAAAAATAAACATGCATAGATACAGCCGGTCCTTTTGGGCATCATTATATTTCATAATTTATGATAAACCTTTTCTAATCTTGACAAAACACATTGTCCGAAAGGTCTGAGTCTCAAGGTTCCAAATTTTCTGACCGAATTGATCTTTGGACAGAAATGTATTAATTTGTTAAGGCAGAATGTATAACACTAAGTTCAATGGAATTCAATGGCACCCGGTGGCTATTTTTGGTACTACACCTAAACAAAATCTCATGGGAACTTCAATTTATGTGATATCAACTTCAAATTTGGAACAAAACTTGATTAGATTTATGGCTTTGATTTTAGAGTAAAAAATATTTGTAAAATATATATTTTATATAAAAAAAATATGAAGAGTTCAGATGCAAAAGCCTCTAAATGCCATTTGAAATTTTCATCTTTAATGATGATTTTTATCAAACTTGTATATTTAAGTTCAGTAATTTCACTTAAATAACAATTCATAGATAATTATCATTTCCATTTAAGTGAAATTACTGAACTTAAATATACAAGTTTGATACAAATCATCATTAAAGAAGAAAATTTCAAATGGCATTTAGAGGCTTTTGCATCTGAACTCTTCATATATAGTACAGTATATTTGATTTACTGTCAATTTAAACTTCCATAACGTTTTCATACTTTCATTTTTTTTTTTTAAAGCGTTTTCATTTCAGCAATAATCTGCTGAGTGTTTTCTTTAAAACAAGACCAAACTTGGGTATATTCCAAAGCATTCTTAAATTACAACCATTTAAGTTTGAATAGTGCATTTTAACCCCCATTCTCAAAAATGGGGGTGACGGCTAAGGGGTCAAGTTTGAAGTTAGCCGAGGTGTGGGAACCCTGTTGATGTCCTGTCTGGTCTATGAGGAGAAATCATGCACCACTCTGATGAAGTGATGGATAACCCCTACCACTATTATCTGAGACCACCACAGACATGAACACACTCAGATCTACTGCTGTCTTGAGGGACGATTGTTCCTGGACATTCACTTTAAATATTAAATTATAATTTTATCAGGCCCCACAAATATTCTGCTTTTTGCATTAAGTGTAGTGTTTTAATGTTTCTCACCCGCATCTCTCTCTCAGTGCCCGGAGCAAGTGGTCGGCGGCATCTACGGCGTGTTGAACAGAAAGCGAGGTCACGTGTTCGAGGAGTCTCAGGTCATGGGAACGCCCATGTTCATCGTCAAGGCCTTCCTTCCCGTCAACGAGTCTTTCGGTGAGTAACCAATCTGATTCTAGCCTGGCTCCGCCCTCCTACTTTTCCGTCAGTACGTCGTCTGGGTTTACGGTATATTAGCGGATTTTTACCGGTCCAATCAGCTTTCAATCACTGGTCCAATTTTTCTTTTAATCAGACAAAAGCATTGTGTATCGAAGTAGATTTTTAAGTGACCACTATTTAGTCGGATTTAATTAAAGGTCCCATATTGTACAACTTTCTGAAGTTTTATTTCAGATTGATTTCTTTAAGATTATATATTTGCGGTACAAGTACCAAAAACCATCTTAAAATATGTTTACCAAGAAATTTTGTCAATTTTGTCCCATTTACTTGATATTCATGAGCCTCTCTTCTGATTGGCCTGTTGTTTTCTGAGTGACCCACCATTGGTTCTGACATCACATTTATATGGTCGTCACAATGAAATGTACGAGAGCATTTATTTTTCACTCGGACAAAAGAGTATTAGTAGATCATTATGCACTTTATTGACCACTATAACAACTTGAGTCACATTTTATTAATAAAAAAACACCTGTTTCTTTGCAAATGTGAGTAACACTAATGTTCTGTGTGCGTTTGTGTAGGTTTCACAGCAGATCTGCGCTCCAACACCGGCGGTCAGGCGTTCCCTCAGTGTGTGTTCGACCACTGGCAGATTCTGCCCGGCGACCCCAAAGACGCCGCGTCCAAGCCTTTCCAGATCGTCGCCGAGACACGCAAGCGCAAGGGCCTGAAAGAGGGCATGCCGGCACTCGACAACTTCCTGGACAAGTTATAAACCGCTGAACGACACGTCTCCCACTGTAACCCCACCTCGGCGCTTTACTCTCTCATTCCCGCGTCATTCCTTCCCTCCTGCACTCGCTTCCTTCCCTCAGAGTACACGCGAGGGACTGGACTGTACAGGGCACAAACGTCACATTTCTCACAGCAGACAGGAAAGTCAAGTGGATTATGTAAATCTAAATAAAGAAAATAAAAATGGAAAATTACTCGAGAGTGTGTCGTTTCATTGCTGGTATGTTCAGATGTTGGTCAGAGCATTTTGTTTTTTCTGTTAAATAGTTTCATGGTTTAACTTTTAATGTCAATTTCATATTCAGACTTCATTATAAATAGTAAACAATATATTTTTTTTTATAATGAAGGCATAACATGAATGTATTGAGTGATACTTGTTACAGTTTATGTTGGCTGTATAAATATAACTTCATGTTCGCTCAGGGCCTTTACCATGATGGTAGTTGAACAAACTCAGGGTTACAGGATTAGATTTGAGTTGACAACCTATCCAATAAAGGCATCTCTTTCAAGGCAAGTCAAGTTTATTTATATAGCACATTTCATACATAATGATAATTCAAAGTGCTTTACATAGAAGAAATTAAAATAATCAAAAGAAATCAGAATAATAAAACTTTAGAATAAAAATAAAATTCAGTAAATACTTAAAACAATTTAGAATCAAAAATGTAATGAAGTACAGTAACAGTCGGACGAACAGTGGCACAGTGCTCATTCAGTAAATGCAATCGATTAAGGGTTTTTTTTTTTTCGCTTTTTTTCTAGTTTACCATAACTAATTACCCTTAATTGAAACACTTTTAATACACTTATACTATATTATCTTAGATTACTCAATTGTAACTAACTTTATTTTAACTTAATTGTTTTTATAAAGAATTTAGCAAGACCTAGCGTAAAATAAATAGAAGAAAAAAATGGGTTTACTAGAAAGAAAAAATGCGCCAAATTAAGGCACAAGATCCATCAAAAACTTATGGTAAATGTATTTTTTATTTAAAGAGTCAGGGTGAGTCAGACGCAGAAAGGGTGCTGGAGTGCTGCAGTCTGTTTTCACAGGATTGTAAATGAAACACATATTTGTGCGTTCACATTTTTGAATTCTTAGCATTTAGTATTTTTAATAAACAATTTAACACATAATAACAATTTTCTAATAACCCACTTAAAGTATGGAGAGACCTAACGTTAGTTAAGTCACGGCTGAAGGGCTGTTAGGCACAACCCGAAGTGGAGTAACCGCCGTGAATTATTTCAGATTCAGCAGTAGAGTACCTTATGCTTTTATTAAACAGTTACACACAATTCAAATATTAAATCCCCCAAAATTGTATCAATGCTATTTTTATGAAGAAAATCGCTAAAGCCTTCTTCTGCTGGAAGAAATAGTCCCTGACCTTGAACAGCAAGTTACATTATTTCGCCTCTAGATGTCGCCAAAGACTGACTGTATGAGTGAGTCTGTCTACAAAGAAGACTTTTATATTGGAAGGATTTGTTGTGAACACGGAAAAGTAATACACAACTGAATGCGTGTAAGGCACGGGAAATTAAACCCCTTGACTGATAAAATGACAAAATCGCGGTGGACATTCAAACGGATTTTTTAAACGAATATTAGACTGACCTGAAGGAAAACGCTATATCTACTGTAAATGCAGGCACTGTTAGCTTACTTCTCTAACAATACCCCATATAAGCTTCAATGAACAATGCAGAACATGACAATATCAATGAGAACATGTTTACGTTGTCAAGAGTGGTTGCTAGGGGTGGTGTAGTGATACCATTGGGTGAAGCGGTCATAGTATTGACCAATCAAAATCTTGGACTTCAACTTAACCGTTTCGTACGTTTTGTTTTGTTTTAAACATAAGAGCGTGACGTCATATTATGACCGTTGCAGTTTGTGGATAGAAGTGTGTGTCCTCTACACTTCGTTCTTCTTTTACCGTCTACGGTCCTCTACTCGTGAGCTCAAGTCTACCGTCGGTGTTGTGTAAGGTAGGCTCTAACCAGGTTTTTGTGTTCATTTTTATTTCCTGTCGCTGTGCAGGCTCTTTTATTGACAGTGTTTAACCCCACAATAACACTTTTATTTAAAGGCTTAATTTACCGTAGACCAGTCCGTTGAATAACGATTGAAACGCCGAATCAATAATGTCAAATATGTGATGTGCAGTCAAATGACCGGGATTGGGTTGTTGTTTAAACGAGTGTAGAAACCTTGTTGACAAGTTTTATAGACTTGATATATTGTTTTATTAAAAAGTGTCTAATAATACTGCACCCCCAACCTAAAATATCTTCCATGTCCCCTATAAAAACATCATTGGATGTTAAATCACAAACGCTTTATCCATATTTGAATAATGAAGTGAAGTAAGTTGTTAATTTTGTTTGTGTTGATTTTAAACGGGTGGTTAAGTTTGATTTCACTTTTCTAACTTCAGTTAGTGTGAAATGTTGCTTAAAGAAAAGGACTACAACAAGGCTGGTAGAACTACACGACATTCCTCCCAGCTTAGTGACATCACTAACCCTAAAATGTACATATTGTACATAAAGGTACAAATGTACATAGAGGAAAAGTTGTTGTATAAGAGTACATTTGTGAGTCAGCTCAAACTTTAGCATCCGACTTTTCACATGGAATAGAAAGTCATTCTGTGTGTGTCTCACAACCGTTTCTATACAAGCGATTAATAGATTATCATGACAGAATATCCTAATTGAAGATAGTTAACTCCACATCAGCAACTTAAATTCAATAACTAGCTGAGACGTCCTGTTGGATTCTACACATTCTCACTTCTTCTTGAGTCTCTCCATCTTTGTCTGACTCCGTTTCAACATTAAAGGCAGAACTGTTTCTGTCATTTAGTGTGTTTCTGTGTGAGGTGATTGCAGCTGCTAACACTCACAGCTCTTGAAACCCCTCCCTTGGCAGCAGCTCATTTGCATTTAAAGGGCCAGGCACAAAACAGTGCGTTTTTGCAAACCCTCAAAAAGTGACAACTTTAACATGTTATTTAAAAATAGGCCTATCTTTGTGGCATTTTGTGCTAAAACTTCACACACACACTCTGGGGATTTACTTTACATCTTGTGAAAATGGCATCAGCGGCGGCTGGTGAAAAATATTGTAGGTGGGGCTGTGTGTTGTGGGAAGGGGGTGTCTAGGGGGTTCTCCCCCATCAAATTTTGAATTTCGTAGATGTGATTTCCTGCATTCTGGTGCATTTTAGGCCTTTGCTCCTTGCCACTTAATACCAATGGTCTAAAAATACAATGTTAATTGAACTGCCATGTAGAAAATTAAATGCATCAGTCTCGTGATCTTTGAAATTAAGAGCTTCAACCCATGAACTGCTCGTTAAACAAAGATAAAGCATTGATTTGTACCAGGACAATAAACAGGGCTCAAACATCTTTTTAATTAGGTATGAGAGTCTACATTACATTACCAATGGTGTTTTAGGATGCCAAACAATTATTATAATAATGTAACAATACAATGTAGACCAACACAAATATGTATCAATTGTTTTCTCGATTGTAGTAATGTATCTACTGCTTAAATGTATAAAAGGGGGCAGGCGTTAATAAGCTTAAGCTTCTGCCTACTCCTTTTGAGCACCATATTCACGTTTTTATTATTTTCTTCCATATTCATTGCGCATGTATCTTTCTTTCGTTTGGCCTACTATGCTGGCTTATGTTACTAGATGTAACCTTGTGGATTTTAGATGCTCAAATAAATAATAAAAAAACAATGATTTATATAATTATTCCTATGACGTAAAATCCATATAGCCTATAAATGTACTATATAAATGGAAATGAGTATTTCAAAAGTATATTTTAGTCTACATTACACTATAATATAGGAAAATTAAAATACTTTAGACCTTATTTCTACACTTGCAAGAAATAAATCCTTAGCTTTAGCTTTTTAAATCCTTAGATAACGTCATAGCTTTTATTCAGGAGAAAACACCTTTCTCGAAATTTCTCGTTTCTCTAAATACCCAGCAAAAACAGAATGCCTATTCTTAAAGTCTTGTGCTGTTTTATGAAGGCAAAAAACAATATCATGGTTTCGATTTTAGTTCATTTGCAAAATATAACGCTAGAGACCTTCATGATAGTTTATACATTTTACATCTCATATGTTCGGCAAAAGGCGGATTCGAACTCGGGTCTGACTGCATCAAAGCTACAGCTGTTCAGTGACAGGCGTGTTTTAGCTACACTTACTGCAAATATAGGCTACGATCTGTTTTATCAGACCAGCCTTTGCGGCCTCGAAACACTGACCATTCCCCATCACCCACCAATATATGTTCAGTTGTTGTCTGTCATCTCAGAGAGTTTACATATATTAATAATTTATAATTATGTCCCTCTATGGCATGATGATGTTGCCCTCAGGCAACAAAATACTATTTTTGTACCTCACACCGCCCCTTACAAAAAAAAAAAAAAAAAACAGCAATCCAATTGAAAAACTTTACCGGGTTAGTGAACATCATTCAACATATGTTGTATGTTTTATTTTGACAGACATTTTTGAAAGATGATAATTTTTACATGATTTACATTTAATTACCCCTTAGCAAATTTATGTAAATCTGAGATTAAAAATTAGGATTTATAAAGTTAAAATTTTTTTACAAAGTAACCTAAAAACACTGTTTTCAAGGGCACCTATTATAGAAAATTCACTTTTACAAGGTGTTTGAACATAAATGTGTGTTGGCAGTGTGTGAGCAAAACCACCCTAGAATGATAAAAATCCACCCAGTGTTTTTTTTTACAATCTCAATAAATCATATGCACTGTCCCAGAACGAGCTGTTCTAAGATTCAGCTCTTTGTGACGTAGAAAGTGAGAAAGGGGTTTGATTGACAGTGTGGTTGTGGCCTAGACCCCGCCCTCGGTGATCTGTACACATCATCCTCCATTGTTTCAACGACAGCTGGTAATGTCTCTTGGAAACGTAAACGTTCTCTCGTGTGTTTATCCTGTTGTTGTGGCTTAAAAGTTAATCCTCAACTGTGGATCGTCATCTACTGTTTGCGATCCACCGTCACATCCAGTAACAGTAAGTGTATTTTATGATTTTTGAGCAAATAGTCTTTTCAGTCAATGTCAGCCAATTCAACAACAATGCGTTTAAAGTTGT